AAAAATCAAAAAAACCATCAATTATAAAGTCAAAATAGTAATTAATATATTTACAACCACCTGTCAATATCAACACATTACACGTCCAAAATAACCATCCATCCTTACAATAAATTCACCACATCAAAAATCAAAAAAACCATCAATTATAAAGTCAAAATAGTAATTAATATATTTACAACCACCTGTCAATATCAACACATTACACGTCCAAAATAACCATCCATCCTTACAATAAATTCACCACATCAAAAATCAAAAAAACCATCAATTATAAAGTCAAAATAGTAATTAATATATTTACAACCACCTGTCAATATCAACACATTACACGTCCAAAATAACCATCCATCCTTACAATAAATTCACCACATCAAAAATCAAAAAAACCATCAATTATAAAGTCAAAATAGTAATTAATATATTTACAACCACCTGTCAATATCAACACATTACACGTCCAAAATAACCATCCATCCTTACAATAAATTCACCACATCAAAAATCAAAAAAACCATCAATTATAAAGTCAAAATAGTAATTAATATATTTACAACCACCTGTCAATATCAACACATTACACGTCCAAAATAACCATCCATCCTTACAATAAATTCACCACATCAAAAATCAAAAAAACCATCAATTATAAAGTCAAAATAGTAATTAATATATTTACAACCACCTGTCAATATCAACACATTACACGTCCAAAATAACCATCCATCCTTACAATAAATTCACCACATCAAAAATCAAAAAAACCATCAATTATAAAGTCAAAATAGTAATTAATATATTTACAACCACCTGTCAATATCAACACATTACACGTCCAAAATAACCATCCATCCTTACAATAAATTCACCACATCAAAAATCAAAAAAACCATCAATTATAAAGTCAAAATAGTAATTAATATATTTACAACCACCTGTCAATATCAACACATTACACGTCCAAAATAACCATCCATCCTTACAATAAATTCACCACATCAAAAATCAAAAAAACCATCAATTATAAAGTCAAAATAGTAATTAATATATTTACAACCACCTGTCAATATCAACACATTACACGTCCAAAATAACCATCCATCCTTACAATAAATTCACCACATCAAAAATCAAAAAAACCATCAATTATAAAGTCAAAATAGTAATTAATATATTTACAACCACCTGTCAATATCAACACATTACACGTCCAAAATAACCATCCATCCTTACAATAAATTCACCACATCAAAAATCAAAAAAACCATCAATTATAAAGTCAAAATAGTAATTAATATATTTACAACCACCTGTCAATATCAACACATTACACGTCCAAAATAACCATCCATCCTTACAATAAATTCACCACATCAAAAATCAAAAAAACCATCAATTATAAAGTCAAAATAGTAATTAATATATTTACAACCACCTGTCAATATCAACACATTACACGTCCAAAATAACCATCCATCCTTACAATAAATTCACCACATCAAAAATCAAAAAAACCATCAATTATAAAGTCAAAATAGTAATTAATATATTTACAACCACCTGTCAATATCAACACATTACACGTCCAAAATAACCATCCATCCTTACAATAAATTCACCACATCAAAAATCAAAAAAACCATCAATTATAAAGTCAAAATAGTAATTAATATATTTACAACCACCTGTCAATATCAACACATTACACGTCCAAAATAACCATCCATCCTTACAATAAATTCACCACATCAAAAATCAAAAAAACCATCAATTATAAAGTCAAAATAGTAATTAATATATTTACAACCACCTGTCAATATCAACACATTACACGTCCAAAATAACCATCCATCCTTACAATAAATTCACCACATCAAAAATCAAAAAAACCATCAATTATAAAGTCAAAATAGTAATTAATATATTTACAACCACCTGTCAATATCAACACATTACACGTCCAAAATAACCATCCATCCTTACAATAAATTCACCACATCAAAAATCAAAAAAACCATCAATTATAAAGTCAAAATAGTAATTAATATATTTACAACCACCTGTCAATATCAACACATTACACGTCCAAAATAACCATCCATCCTTACAATAAATTCACCACATCAAAAATCAAAAAAACCATCAATTATAAAGTCAAAATAGTAATTAATATATTTACAACCACCTGTCAATATCAACACATTACACGTCCAAAATAACCATCCATCCTTACAATAAATTCACCACATCAAAAATCAAAAAAACCATCAATTATAAAGTCAAAATAGTAATTAATATATTTACAACCACCTGTCAATATCAACACATTACACGTCCAAAATAACCATCCATCCTTACAATAAATTCACCACATCAAAAATCAAAAAAACCATCAATTATAAAGTCAAAATAGTAATTAATATATTTACAACCACCTGTCAATATCAACACATTACACGTCCAAAATAACCATCCATCCTTACAATAAATTCACCACATCAAAAATCAAAAAAACCATCAATTATAAAGTCAAAATAGTAATTAATATATTTACAACCACCTGTCAATATCAACACATTACACGTCCAAAATAACCATCCATCCTTACAATAAATTCACCACATCAAAAATCAAAAAAACCATCAATTATAAAGTCAAAATAGTAATTAATATATTTACAACCACCTGTCAATATCAACACATTACACGTCCAAAATAACCATCCATCCTTACAATAAATTCACCACATCAAAAATCAAAAAAACCATCAATTATAAAGTCAAAATAGTAATTAATATATTTACAACCACCTGTCAATATCAACACATTACACGTCCAAAATAACCATCCATCCTTACAATAAATTCACCACATCAAAAATCAAAAAAACCATCAATTATAAAGTCAAAATAGTAATTAATATATTTACAACCACCTGTCAATATCAACACATTACACGTCCAAAATAACCATCCATCCTTACAATAAATTCACCACATCAAAAATCAAAAAAACCATCAATTATAAAGTCAAAATAGTAATTAATATATTTACAACCACCTGTCAATATCAACACATTACACGTCCAAAATAACCATCCATCCTTACAATAAATTCACCACATCAAAAATCAAAAAAACCATCAATTATAAAGTCAAAATAGTAATTAATATATTTACAACCACCTGTCAATATCAACACATTACACGTCCAAAATAACCATCCATCCTTACAATAAATTCACCACATCAAAAATCAAAAAAACCATCAATTATAAAGTCAAAATAGTAATTAATATATTTACAACCACCTGTCAATATCAACACATTACACGTCCAAAATAACCATCCATCCTTACAATAAATTCACCACATCAAAAATCAAAAAAACCATCAATTATAAAGTCAAAATAGTAATTAATATATTTACAACCACCTGTCAATATCAACACATTACACGTCCAAAATAACCATCCATCCTTACAATAAATTCACCACATCAAAAATCAAAAAAACCATCAATTATAAAGTCAAAATAGTAATTAATATATTTACAACCACCTGTCAATATCAACACATTACACGTCCAAAATAACCATCCATCCTTACAATAAATTCACCACATCAAAAATCAAAAAAACCATCAATTATAAAGTCAAAATAGTAATTAATATATTTACAACCACCTGTCAATATCAACACATTACACGTCCAAAATAACCATCCATCCTTACAATAAATTCACCACATCAAAAATCAAAAAAACCATCAATTATAAAGTCAAAATAATAATTAATATATTTACAACCACCTGTCAATATCAACACATTACACGTCCAAAATAACCATCCATCCTTACAATAAATTCACCACATCAAAAATCAAAAAAACCATCAATTATAAAGTCAAAATAATAATTAATATATTTACAACCACCTGTCAATATCAACACATTACACGTCCAAAATAACCATCCATCCTTACAATAAATTCACCACATCAAAAATCAAAAAAACCATCAATTATAAAGTCAAAATAATAATTAATATATTTACAACCACCTGTCAATATCAACACATTACACGTCCAAAATAACCATCCATCCTTACAATAAATTCACCACATCAAAAATCAAAAAAACCATCAATTATAAAGTCAAAATAATAATTAATATATTTACAACCACCTGTCAATATCAACACATTACACGTCCAAAATAACCATCCATCCTTACAATAAATTCACCACATCAAAAATCAAAAAAACCATCAATTATAAAGTCAAAATAATAATTAATATATTTACAACCACCTGTCAATATCAACACATTACACGTCCAAAATAACCATCCATCCTTACAATAAATTCACCACATCAAAAATCAAAAAAACCATCAATTATAAAGTCAAAATAATAATTAATATATTTACAACCACCTGTCAATATCAACACATTACACGTCCAAAATAACCATCCATCCTTACAATAAATTCACCACATCAAAAATCAAAAAAACCATCAATTATAAAGTCAAAATAATAATTAATATATTTACAACCACCTGTCAATATCAACACATTACACGTCCAAAATAACCATCCATCCTTACAATAAATTCACCACATCAAAAATCAAAAAAACCATCAATTATAAAGTCAAAATAATAATTAATATATTTACAACCACCTGTCAATATCAACACATTACACGTCCAAAATAACCATCCATCCTTACAATAAATTCACCACATCAAAAATCAAAAAAACCATCAATTATAAAGTCAAAATAATAATTAATATATTTACAACCACCTGTCAATATCAACACATTACACGTCCAAAATAACCATCCATCCTTACAATAAATTCACCACATCAAAAAATATTTAACAAAACATCAAAGATTTCAAATGCATGTCATATTTGTCCGATGCGAAGTATCTCAAAAACTCCACATATATATATGCACAACTTAGAATTAATGCATCGGCAAACTCAGATCCATGCATGACTACGCCTCTAGCTAGCTACCTGCAATAAAAAAAAAAAAAAATTGAAGAAAGCGTTGTTAATAATAATATATTTGTTTACATTTCTATATATATATATATATATAAAAACCACAACACCACCACATTATTACCATCCTTACAGTTCGTGTATTATCTCCTCCATCACTAGTTCATTCCCTAACTATGTAAATAGAATTATTATCCATGTATAGATTGTAAATAGAATATTCTGTTAACAAGACAGTCATAGAAATGTAACTATGTACTTAAATCCAATAATTTAATACCAAGTCATGTACTGAAAATAAGGCACCTCAACCTATGTCCCTCAACCATCCAACTATGTACCTAAATCTGAATGAAATTAACCTATGAAACCAATCAAATCAATATTAGACCATCATATGAATGGATGCCAACACGACAGTCATAGATCAACTGTCAAAATCAGATCTATGAGCTGATAAATTGAAGCAAATCCCAGAAGTATTCACAAACCATCAAAAGCAATAGTACTTACTCATCAAAAGAGTCGTATCCACTACCATTGCCCTGCATTTGTCTCATAAAGTGTTCAAACTGCTCAAAGCGTCCTTCATATGATTGAATTATCCCTTTCAGTGATGCTACCTCTTCTTTAAGGCCCTTAACCTCTACATCACGTGCTTGTGACCTAGTTGTAGAATTGAATGCAGAAGACGGCTTTGGACCAACCCCGAAACCTCTCAAATACCCTGAACGCTTCCCAAGGACTTGAACAGTAATTTCCTCCTGTGTTAGCGGGGTTGCTCCAGGCTGTGAAGATTCCTCACGAAGTTGGTCCATCTTTTCCTGTTTGTGTTAAAAAAAGAAAAGAAAAAAAAAAAAAAAAAAAAAAAATGCATGAGTTCAATATCTTTATTTCATCTAAATAATTACAATAGTAGGGGCATTAGTGTAATTTTTCAAACGTCAAAGGGTGATATATATTAAATCCAAACCTCAAAGGCTGTAAGTGTAATTTACCCATTATTAATTACTCAATCCCTATATTGTTCCTCCATCCCCAACATAAATCGTGGGCCTCTACACTTCTCTACCAATCAAAATCTTATGGAGCACCACGTGTCCATACTCTGAGAATACTGAATAATCACCCATGTTGGAGACATTAATAGTCCCAAAAAAAAAAAAGAATAATGTTATATGCACTAATTAATTTAATAACTAATACACTAACATAATTTTTGAGATTTTGGATATTTATAATTTGTATAATAGGTGGAATCAATAATAATGGCATAACACTAGTTGGTATATTAGTGTGTGCATTAATTGGTGCATGTAACACTATTAAAAAAAATGTTAGAGACATTAAATTTTTTATTAAAAAATTATCAAATATTAATATAAAGTGGGACTCATATTTTTATTAAAAATATTTTCAATCACCTGTAGATCTCACATAATCCACACTCATATGAGTGATTTGATAAAAATTTTAGTAATTTTTTTAAAAAAATTTCTTATCTGTAGCATTTTTCAAAAACATCACAACCAAAGAAAAGAAACAAAGTCAAATTGGAGTAATTAAAATCTCGCAGATTGTGCAACTGCAATTCAACTTCAACTTGTGCCTCACTTAACATTCTCCTTCTCAATTGAACCGTTCGTCTCTCTTCCTTTATAGTCATGGTCATCTCACTCACACAGTCCTCTCTCTCTCTCTCTCTCTCTCTCATGTTTGGACTTTGTTCCTTCCTTCATGGGCATATGCCAATCTCTTACAGATAGATATTCTCTTTTTCTATCCCAATCTGTCTTTCTCTAAAACCTCTCTGTCATCTCAAGAATTCATCAAAAAAAAAAGTGGCATACTCTGTCATTCAAAACCATCCACAGATAAAAATTCTGAGAAAGGATAAGAGACGGCAGTGATTCTTCACAAATCATAATAGCAATAATGGATGTATTTGAAAAAGATTACAATTTAGAGGACACCCAGAACGCAGAGTCCAAAGTTGTGGATGATCTAGTAGTGAGCGAGACTGTTAATGAAGAACAACAGAGTAGTAATTCGGAGTCTTTGGAGGAAACCAACCCTCATCAAGGATTGGTTTCAGAAAAGTTGGATGCTTTGGATTCAGTTGGTGAAACTGAGCCTTCTCTTGACTTGACTAAGCCTGTTCATGAGTTCAGTGAAGAAGCTAAAGGAGAAGACCAAGTTGAGCATACTGATGTGGGAAACAAAACTGAGCAGTCCTTGGATGAGAGCAATGGAGTTTCCATAAATTCTGTTGTGTCCATTGGAATTGATTTGTCATCGTCGGGTCGGAATGGTGATGTTTCTCCTATTTTAACTAATGTGGTACCAAAGGGAATTGAGCAGGACATGATTGAGAATAAGAACAATGAGGAAGCAACAGAAGAAACAACGATGTTGCCAGCGTCCGATGAAAACCCAGAGGAATCCTCAAACGCTGCTTCTGATTTGGTTTCAAACCAAAATCTTGCTAATGTTTTGCAGTCAGAAGATCGCAAGGATTCTAACGTGTCTGAACTTCCAGAAAGCACAGAAAATCAGGTCTGCTCTGTTCATCTTTTTTTCTTTTTCTTTTTTTTTGGTTTGCGCTTTTGAATTGAATTCTATGGATTGATCTTTCTTTGTCTTTTTTTTTGGGTTCTTGAATTGGATTCTATGGATTGATCTTTCTTTGTCTTTTTTTTTGGGTTCTTGAATTATGTTTGACAGCATTTTATAGCTGTGACACCGCGGCCTCTGGAACGGACTTTTTGGAGGGGATGCTGTGGATTGTTTGAATTTCTGAGGCATTCTGATTAGTAATATAAGGTAACTCAACTTCAATATATTAATTACTGATGTTGTTTGCCTAACCTCTTTCATAATTTAATGTGCCATAAGTCGATGAATACAGAAACCAAACACAGAATTGGGTTATTTAGGGGGATATGCCATATGGGTATAATTTAGCATATGGGTATAATTTATATTCTCAATTGCCAATGTAATACAATATCACTTTCCTTGTCCTCGCTTGCATGATAATTACACCAGTAACTCTACAAAATTTATTACAGTAATCTTTACTTATGATCATTGTAATAATGTTCCCATTCATGATCGTATAAAAGCTTAGCTCAAGCAAAGACAATCCACCATTTGTGATACCGATCGAGCTAATTCAAAGTTTTCCAACAAAATTAGATTTCGAAAAAGGGTTACATGGAAGAGAACCATCATGTAACCAATAACACATGGCCAATCCTAAAATTTATCACCAAGGAAGAAATTGAAAGCCAACAACTTGATTTGTTGAGAGAAGACGTTGATGGGCACATATTTAAGGTTGCAAGTAAAAAAGAGATTGATTCAATAGAGCAAGGGAATAGAGTGAGTGTTACACTCTTGGATGTTGAAACTAGTGAAAACAAGTGTATTGGCTTCATTCAGAAGCTAAATGGTAGATACATGTTGGGATGGAATGAAGTTCTTCAAATGAGAAATATTAATGCAGGTGACTTAATAGGATTACAATATGCTTCATCTTCCAATACCTTCAAGTTCATTTTAGTGAATAAAGGTTTGTGTCTCAAACTTGTTGGTGCACTTGGCTATGTTTGTTTAGACAGATTGGATTAGATGGGATTAGTATTCCTAAAACTGTTAGCCATAAGATTATAAATGTTTTCGGATTGTGTATCCTATTTTTGTTTCGATTAACTAGTATAAGGAGAGATTAACAAAATCCTATCAATATTGCAATTTAACTAATTAGTTTTAAGGAAAATGTTAGGAACTCGAAATGTTTTACTAACATTTCTACTAAATTTCTTACGTGGGTGTGGGATCCTAGCATTACTCTAGTTTAAACCTCTCCATTGCTCTTCATTTTGTGTTCCAACCCCTTCTTTTGGGATTTAGTTGTCTCTCATATGGGGAAGCTATGTCTGGACTCAATTTTTGTAGCCAAATATCAAATTATACATTTTGTTAGATTATTAATCTAATTACAAGGTTAAGTTTGCTCAAACAACCATGGCATATATATATTTATAATTTTGAAAGTGAGCTCGTCACTTACCACATCAATGCTGTTGAAATTTCTCCAGGAGTAGATTAGAAGTATAAAATTAATTATAAACCCAAAGTACTAGCATCATCACATGCTCCATTGTTTGTTATCTCTAATATGAAGGTAATGACCATATGGCCCTTGTAATGCAGTACAAAGATTAGCAGTAAAGATGTGATTTTGACCCAAGGCCAAGGGTCAAAATGTAATTCATCCGCTTTATTCTTTTTTATGCTATATTTTTGTTTAGCATTAGTATTAATTTTTTTTTTTCCCCTTCCATCTGCAGATTTAATAAATACATGGCTTTCCAGTTAAAGAGTTTTCTGTACCTCCACACATATGCATATGGATTCCAGATTGAATTTCTCTTGTCCCTCAACTTTTATTTTTGTATTCCTCATTTCAGTGAAAATTTGAGATTTGCCAAATTTATGATTGATTGCCTGTGTGAAAGCTTGTATGATTTTGGTTTTGAATAAGCTTTATTGTTGCTATTGCTATTGATATGCTATATTTGGTTAATTAATGAGTTTTTGTTTTGTTTTTTTCTTCTATTTTGTTTTTAATGCTAAAGGACATAACCGTGTTGGTTCCCGTTTATTGAGGATGTTTTTTAGAAGAAAGATTGAAAACATATCTAATTTTCTCATTATATTACACGAAGTGACTAATCTCAAAATTAAACTTAAATACACATTCTCATGCTTCTCAGCCTATGCGTTTTTACCATAGAAAATGTTATGAATCTCAAATAAATTATTAAATTTTTTACTAAATCTCTCACATGGGTATGGAATCCACACAAATCACATGTGTGTGGGTCTCACAGCCATGTGAGAGATTTGATTAAAAAAAATTATAATTTATTTGAGGTCTCTACTAGTAATAGTATAACTCTTTTATAATTGCACAATTTCTAAAGCAACACTATATTATGTTTCTTTTCTTCTTTTAACAATTCAAACTATTTCAAGGGGAAAAGAAAATCAAACTACTACATCCCCAAATATGCCCAATGGTATTTCTTGTGGATTACAATGGGACAGTAACTAATTGTCAGAGTCCCCTAAAATTTACTAGTGAACTATTAATCAACATAGGATGGGATTGTCTCCAGTTCACTGTATGAAATGAAAGATTCTGTCGAGTCCGTCAGGAGTATCATTTTGACGATTTAAACTGTTAATAGAGCTATTTACACAAAGACTCACTAAATTATTGACAAATATCACTTTGATTTCTTAAATTATAAAAACATACAAATAGATCCTCTAAATTATTCAAAATTATCACTTTACCTCCTACACTATAAAAGCGTGCAAATAAATCTCTTAAATTATAAAAGTGTTCCAATTAGCCCTCCTGACAGAAGGGATCAAAGTGAAACACGCTAATAGTTTAGGAGATCCATTTATACGCTTTTATAATTTATGAAGTAAAACGATACTTCTTAATAGTTTAGGAGATTTCCGTATAAATAACTCTTTATTTATTTGTAACCTATGTGTAAAATATTTATAAAAAAAATTAAAAATCAATCTGATAATCATGATTATATAATTTGTTACATTTACCTTTAAAAAAATTAAATAATATATTTTTTTAAATTATAATTATTAGACATTGCAAAATCATTATCCATCTCATCTCGTCACAAAATAAAGGTATGCATCATGAGACAATAAGCCCATTGCTCAATCATATGATGAGAACGGTAGGACAAAGTGGTAGCATCATGTCATGTCATGTGCACTAAAACATTGGCAATTTTTCTTACCTACAACATAAACATGACTGGAAAAATCATTACTAGTTACTAACAGCTAATCAACACCCCTCTTTCTCTCCCCCTCCAGGTTAAGTATTTTAAGAACTAACCCAAGGGGTGCAGTAATTTGGTAAGATTTTGTATGAGGTTTCATTTTTTTTAGGCCAATTATTCGGGTGACAATATATATGGTTGGTAAGATAAACTTTTCAGGTTTAAGCGAACCATACCCAGTGTAAAAGTGTGGGTTCAAAATCCTACATGTATGTGAGTTTGTGACTAACCGCTACCTAATTGAATAGTCCTAACAACTAGCAAAAGGTGGAGCAAGGATCCTCTCCTTACATTCCCTACTTCACTTTCTCCTTGCAATGGTCAAGATTCATTTTAAGAAAATTTAATGGTGTAGATCATTCTAAAAAAATTATTTTTTAATTTTTAATAAAGTAATCTGAGCCATTAAATTCTTCTTTTAGGATGAATATTAACCATTGCAAGGAAGAAGTGAAGTAGGAATGCAAGGAGAGAATCCTTGCTCGCAAAAGGTGACCTTTGCAATTTCAAGTTCTGACTAACCGCAGAGGTTATCTCTTAAACCTTTAAACCACCATCCTTAACCCCAAACAAAAAAACCAATAAGCATCTAAAGAAAACAAAAGAACCAAGAGATTTTAAAAAACATAAAGGAAGAAAAGAAAAAGAAAAAACTCATATATATATATATATGGTGTGCCATGGAACCTACGGATCACACTGTAAAGAAAATGTCTAGAAATATAGAAATCAATCACACAATCAGATACAACCATTTCACACAAGGTAAATTTGACATTTTTGTGGAATTTCACAATCATATAAGATAGTTGCGTCCAATTGTGTGATTGATTTTTGTGCAAGTAAACTACACTGGACCCATAAATTGATGATGAAAATCATTACCCTCCAAGTTTTCTCTGGCCATTATCCAAAGCTTCAAAGAAAGTAGCAAGAAGCCTCATGGAGTTGAGTTGAGACTGCAATGCGAGTATGTAAGAAGCAGTCTGATCAAAGAGTGTGTCAATGCCAACAAGTGAGTCAGCTCCTGGGACAATCCTCTGCAATGCCATGATCTTCCTCTCTACCTCTGCTTTCTCATCTTCTTCTTCTTCTTCATCATCATCACCACCACCACTAGTATTACTACTATTACTCCTTGATTCCTTCAAAATCTTCACATCATCTCTTCTCTTTTTTCGGGTGGTGGTGGTGGTGGTGGTGGTTCTCCGCCCCCTAACACGGCGGCCACTGGCCAATGATTCATAAGCAGCTCCTCCTCCTCCTGCATTACCCATCTCACACTTGCTCTTCTGGTTGTGGTGGTGGGTAAATATTCTCTCTCTTCTGTGAAATGTGGTTAGAGTTCTTGGGTCTTTAGTACCATTCTCCTCCATAGAGAGAGAGAGAGAGAGAGAGAGAGGTGGCTGCGGTGGGTTTATGAGCTTTGTTGTGAAGAAGTGTAATGGGGTGGGGGTGGTGAAGGGGTGAATTATTGGGGGGTAGAGAGAGAGAGAGAGAAATGTCAAATGCCAACGCAGCTGGGGCCAACTTGTTTTGGCTTCCCAAGCCACCCCCCCTGGCTGGCTGGCTGGCTGGCTCTGTGGATTGGCCCGGATGGGAGACATCACAACGCGCCTAGAGAAGCACGTGTGATTGGGGGTGTTTTGTGCAACTATTAAAATAAATTATAAATTATAATTTAACCGATTATAGATTATAATTTTAATAATAAGTAATTAATTTATTTGATGCATCTATAAGATTATAAATTTAATTTGTTGAGTAATATTTGATAAATAAATTCTGAAATAGCTTTTTGATATATAAATATCCTTTTTATTCTTGTTAATTATAAATTGAATTAACTATAAAAGTCCACATTTTCCATTAAAAAAACTAATCCATAATCCATTTTGTTCTTTTTCTATTTTCAAACAAAAAAATATTTAAAGATATAATCGTTAATTAATATGTCAACGATAGAAGCTGATATTAAAAATAGGGGATAGACAGTTTCTCAAAATCATTTTTTTTGAGTTGAAATAAATTGCTAAAATTAAAAAAAAATTAAAAAAAAATTAACCAAACAGCTTAAAATAATTATTTCAAAATTAAAATCTATAAATTGGCTAAAAAAACACACCAAACACCCCGTTGTGTATCCTGAAATAGTTAACTTGTGCTATGCGTGAGGTGTTCTAAATTCTAATACAATATACTAAAGCCTTGTTTAGGAAGAGATTAAGGTCAAGTTTAGCATATTGCAAAAAAATTAAAAAATTAAAAAATTATTCAAAAAGTTAAAAAGTTAACTCTATTTACCAAAAGTCAACAATTACGGCTGCACAACTCTCAATCTTATACACATCGACAACCCTCACTTCATTATTACCATTTCTCTAATACATCCTCAAGTGTCCTCGAGTGTCCATACTGCACGGTCCCTACTTTTCTGTATCCATATTTTCTTCCTCAATTTTTTAGTCCAAAAAGAAAAAAAATACACTTATTTAGGACACCCCAAACACCCCTAAATTAATTAAAAAATAATATAAATATTAATTTATTTTTTTATATCTTTTTTTAAAATGTTAAAAAAATCAATTTTCAAAAGAATCCTAAACATGTTTGTGAACATGATTTTTTTTATAAATTTTATTTTAAAAACAAATTGAGTTGATTTTTTTTTTTTTTTATACTTGAAACTTCTACAAGAAATTAAAAACAAACTCAAATTTTTTAAAAAAAAAATCACTGAAAACTTATTATAAAAAAAATTACGAACAAATATTGAAAATTGACTTTTCGTCTTTGGTATTTTTTCTAGTTTCAAATAATTTGTTAAAATTTTTAGCGGCTTACAATCTAGAAGTGTCTAAAAAATATAAAAAATAAAAACGAGATACTTTCCCTAAAGACCAATAAGCATATTTTATGAAAATTAGCTTTTTGTGTTAAGCAGATTTTTTAATTGTTTAAGAATTTAAAGGCTTCTAATCCAAAATCATCTAAATAGTTAAAATTCCAAGTTTTTAAAAAAAAAGAAAAAAAATTACTAAGGACAAAAAATAAATACCAAAAAAATAAAAAAATCGTTAGCTAACCAAACCCTAGGCCTAGGCCGTGTTAACCCTTTTTTACTCCTAGGTCTATGCGAGTGGGTAAGCGAAATAGGGAGTTGGGGGTGGGGGTGTGGATCACCTGTGGGGGAATACTCGGAGGAGAGGAGCGGAGAGGAAGGCAGTGATCGAAAATGGGCCCACAACTCAAAAACAAGCGGAAAAGGGCACAATATATGCACATGTGATCACATGATTTTCTTGATCCCCACCAACACCCATGTGCTTCCCTCTCTTTCTCTCTCCTCGTCCTCTCTCTCTCTCTCTATATGTATACACATGATCTATGTATAAATAGTTTCTATATTATAAACCTAACCAAGATTGACACGTGGCACTTTGGCATGGGACCCATGAGAGGAAGGTAAGGAGCGGAGAGGAAGGCAGTGATCGAAAATGGGCCCACAACTCAAAAACAAGCGGAAAAGGGCACAATATATGCACATGTGATCACATGATTTTCTTGATCCCCACCAACACCCATGTGCTTCCCTCTCTTTCTCTCTCCTCGTCCTCTCTCTCTCTCTCTCTCTCTCTCTCTCTATGTATACACATGATCTATGTATAAATAGTTTCTATATTATAAACCTAACCAAGATTGACACGTGGCACTTTTGGCATGGGACCCATGAGAGGAAGGTAGTGGTGAGTGTGAAGGAGAGAGAGAGAGAGAGAGAGAGAGAGAGATAGAGATGATGTTTCCAAGAAGGAAACCAATTGGCGGTTGGGTCATTGGGATTGTGTGCAAAGGGATTTGTTTGTTGGGCATATGGTGATCAGAGCTTACCAAATTTGTGGGTATTTTTTTTTATTTTATTTTTTTTGTATTCTTGGACTATTATGTGTTGAAAATTTTTATTTAAGTAGTTAAAAAACAAAAAATAATTTATTATTAATCAAAAATACTACATAGATAATGAACAACAATAAAGGACGATATACAAACCGGTTCATGATGAGATGTCACATAACAGATGCATCCAACAACCCATGACCTTGTGCCACTGCTCTCCAACTCCCATAGTAGAGGTAGTAAGTTCAAGTCAAGCCTCATGTGAGATGTTGGGAGATAGATCTCCTTCCCCTTTCCCTTCCCCTTCCACGAGATCTAGGTTAGAGTAAGTTTAGATTTGTGACCAAAACACAAATGCGTCCAACAATAAAACTAATAAATGCCCATATAAGGTCGGACTCGATTCAGTTTCAAGCAGCAACCCAACCCAACCCAACTCATACTAAACAGAACTTCGATCTCAAAAATCAACTTGTGATGGGGAATCAAAGGAATGGTGTATGCAACTAGACTGCATTAACTCGTTAGAACTAAAATTAAAAATAAAAAAAATCTTTATTCATGAAAGGACACTATAAAATGTGGATTTAAGAGAGTTTTTTATTCACAGAGACCAAGCCACCCTCGTGTTTGCAGGTCAAAATCGCTATGATCCAAAGGTTACACCTCAGATATGTCGAGCGACACCACACACGAGTACGCAAGGGAAGAGGTTTGAGAGAGAGTGAGAGAGAGAGAGAGAATTTAACTTCTAGTTTCACTAACCTATAAGACAACCAGGGAATGCTGGCTCCTGAAAAAGACACTCACTTTCTGTACATGGATTCCTCCATTCCATTCCTACACATCGACAACCCTCACTTCATTATTACCATTTCTCTAATACATCCTCAAGTGTCCTCGAGTGTCCATACTGCACGGTCCCTACTTTTCTGTGAGCAGCTGAATTTGCAGCTGAAGTAGCAGCAGCAGTGGCAGCACCGGCACTGATTCCACCATTTGCCACTCCAACACGCATCATATAAAATGGGTTGTTGTCAATGTTTACTGCTATATCCGGCGCTAATTTGGCACCTATGCCAGATTGAGGGACTTGTTTTGATCGCATCTCCGCCTCTGTTGTAGATCTTCCCAGCTTTCCAGAGCCACTCCTGCGGTAGCTGTAGGCTGGAGGGCCAGCCTGCGAAGGAATGACTGAGTTTCCTATAACTGTTCTAGGGTCAAAAGTTTCTTTCAGAACATTTCCATTCTCATATGGGCCCACAACTTTTCCAGGTTTGGCTGGACAACAAAACAAATTTCAAATATTAGAACCAAAGAAACAAATGAAAAGACTTGACACGGGAAGAATTGCAGAGAGGAAGAGAGTACCCAGAGATATCCTCTGTGGTGCCTGTGAGGCTCTCGATACTCCATCTGAATCTCTAAAATTCTTATTGCACGACTGTTCCACAATTTGCCGATCTCTAAAGGAAACAACATTTGCTTGTACAATGGTAGACCTGTACACATTAACAGGATGAAAATTTTAACATCAACCAACTCCAAACAGCAATCAAAATGTCTCATACCAAGTGTTTCCTATAGAAGCCAGAGGCCTGAATCTCTTGATTCACACATCCACAACACAGCTCGATACCACTCCTCAGTTAGCCAGCAAAAAATTTTATTGGGCAAAATTAAATTTGATCTGTGGATGGGTTGGTGAGTGACTCTGAAGCACGGATAATCCTAGAAAAAGAAGTCTATACGTACAGTACTTGATATTTTTTAAATGTATCCATAATTTATTTTTTTTAAGTATCGGATACTTTTTAGATACTTTAGGTCACGTATCCGAAAAGTTGTAATTATTGCATAGCATTATAATATAATTGTTAGGGTAAATATAAGAATAGTTTTCAATACTTCACTTATTTCTTGGAGGGAAAAAAATTTAGTGAAATTAAAGTAGCATCCTATTTTTGCAGAAATTACTGAATTGGCATATCCTTAATGAATCATACATGTCATGATGTCCCCATATCCTTATAGTAGTATGGATAGATAATAAAATATAACAATATTAAAACCAGATTTCAACAATTAAACAAGTAAAATTGCTAACACTATTTTTGCATATTAAGATTTTGAAGTGTGAAAGAGAAAAACAAAAGGGGGCAATATGAACAGTTTAGACATGATTTGAAATTAAATTTTTATAGGACTTGCTGAAAATTAACAAGTAAATTCACTATTGCCTTTTTAACTAATACCAGAATAACGAAACTATTCTCAGAATACAATACTAAGACCTATAAAAATATATATATTTTTTACGGATGTACCCGTATCTTATTTTAAAAAAATTTGTCATATTGCCGTATCTGTATCGTACAGTATCCATGATCTATATTCCATATCCGTGCTTCATAAACCAGTGGTCAAAGGTTCAAAAGAGAGTGGCAAAACACATAAGAGGCACTGGAGACACAAAATGATTGTTGGAGCCAAAGAGCAGGCCAGCCAAGAGAAAGAGAGAGGCAATAGAGAGCTCAAAGTACAAAGCTCACCAGAGATGTTGAATTCCAAATGTGATGTAATGAAATTACCACCTTGTATATATATACATAGAGGAGGTAAGTACATGACCGTAACTAACTACACAACCATATGTTTTATTTTTAGGAACCTTGTCAAAAAGCAATCAGACCGTTAAGGTTACATAATAATTATGGAGAAGCCTAGTGGCAAGGTGTCTCCCAATATGATTGGCCTAAGCAACTTGATCCATGCGGGGCAAAGCACTATGGCAAAGTCTCCATCTCTAGTCTCCAAGCCACAAGGCCCTAGAGTTTCACATCCTTGATCCTACAATCGTCGTTCTCCTAATTGGCAAGCTACTAATGTGAAGATCATATGCTACCAAATAGAGTTTATTACCTAGTCCAAACCTTAGTTCCAAAGGTGTGATGCATGCTGAAACCTATTGTATACCTAGACCCTGCCTCGTTGGCTAAGTTCATGGGTAGCATGGTTACTGTATCTGCAATAATAAAGCAACATAACTAAAACAGTAAAGTAATGAGATGTGCAGTATGAACACCGCAGTAACATGGCACGTAGTAAGACTACCACAGGACTAGATGGGTTGGACTCTTGACCCCCGTGTCACACATATGGATATGAAGTCTTCAAGGGTTGGAATTTAAGCATAAAAGACGTGGTAACATAATACAATGCAAAATCCCAGACATTCCAATATTCAATAACAATCATCCACCACCCACCCCAACCAATAAAATGTAATACAAAATAAAAATCCATCATAATGATTTGTGAGTGCAACTGTATGAAGCACGAAAACTTCGTAGCTGTATCGGTTATCAATACTCCTCAAATATTCGCGAACACTACAGGCATGTTTGGTTTGTCTCTCAAAACATGTTTTTGGAGAAAAAATTCTAAAAATATGTTCGGTTGAATTTTTTTTTTAAAAAAAACCCAAAATCACTTTTCTCTTTACTACACAACAATCAATCATTTTTTTCTATCTCCTCTCTCCTTAATCACTTTTTCTCCTACAATCATCTATTCAACTACAAAAAAATATCAAATCATCACAAACTCCAAAACTATTTTCAAAATATGCAACCAAACAAATTTTTAAATTTCTAAACTCTCTCCAAAAAATTATTTTTGAAATAATATCTCAAAACACAAACCAAACAAGGCCTACATATCTAATACTTCCTAAATGTATCCATTCTTTGAAATTAGTTTTCTTTAATTTTGGAAAATGTCAAATACTCTAGGTCACATATTCGAATTTCAAACTAATATAAAATTCAAATTATAATAATTCTTAGCATTAAAATATAATTGTTACAATAAATACAACAATAATTTTTTAATACTTTGCTTACTTTTAGGAAAAAAGAAAATAGTAGATCAAACTAGTATCATACTTTTTCAGAATCTATTGAATTGGCGTTATCTTAATGTGCCATGCATGCTTGTCATATCCATATCCATACTCCATAGAAACTAGAAAGAAAATATAACGACACTAAAATCGGTTTCAACAATCAAACAAGCTTATGTCCATCACTTTTGCAAATAACAATTTAATGGGAAAGAAAGAAGCACAAGGCAATATAAATGGTGGCTACTGACTACTGGCTCTTAAACTAATACCTAATTCGTAAAATATGGTTTCTCACCATTCGTTGAACTTTTATAATACAACACTAAAATTAATAAAAATATTTTATTTACAAATGTATCCATCCTTGTATCTTCTTTTGTTTTAGGTTTTGTTGTATCACATTATCCGTATCGTATTTGTATCTCACACTTGTATCCATACTCATATCTTTCCAAAATTTTGGAAATAAGCTCATCGCCTCTGTTGTTTGAGAACTAAAATGCACCGTCAAACAGTCCGTCCAAGTTAATAGGAAGTGTGAAACACATACCTAGACTTAAAGGGGGTTTATGTGCTCATATCCAAATGCCAGGGGGTAAACTGCACGTGTAGTAAAGCACATGGGAGTTAAGTGCATTTTGAGTCTCAAAAAAAGACGAAAATGCTCGTGATTAACATAATGAGGTTACTTGTATACAAGGGTATTTTAGTCTTTTCACTTATGTCTTTAAAGGTACAAGAAGTACACTTTAATCCACAAACCATACAGTGTTATGTGCTTATTTCTAAATGTCAAGGGGTAAACGTAAACCACACAGAGTATTTAGCAGGAGGTAAAGTGAAATTTGCCCTAAAATTTAATTATGTTCAACACTATTTATTCACCAACGCTTTCTTTCAAATTGACTTTTGGAAAAATTTCATGAAAATTTAACTATAAAAATATTTATCAACTCTTATTAACATGGTTCCTGCTGTGCACTAGCAGTAGTTGCCAACAATTCTACGTGGCTGTTCTACATCTGACTTGCATCCATCTTACTTTCTACATCAGTTACTTTAACTGATATGTTGGCTCATGTCATGCATGAAAAATATTTATTATTTCACTAGCTTGCTTAAAATGTCTGATCTGATCTGACTATACATACAGAGAAGTAATTGATAAATTATTCAGAATACTTTACAAAATGTAAAGCTTCAAGCACAACAAATGAACTGAGAAATTGTAATGAGAAGTTTACCTGGGGAGAGACACATGCTTTCTCTCAAGCGGAATCACTGGCCCACTTTTACCAATATTTTCTTCAAGATGAGCAAACTGCTTCCGAAACTGATCAACAGCGCTGCATACAAGGTGCACTGAAAAATGAGAAGAAAGAACAGATGTGCATAGGGTCATGAAAAAGGAAAGATATATTTAACATGAACAGCAACTAGAAAACAGAAACCTTGGATAAAGAAAATTTGTCCTTTCTATTCCATTCATGTAGTCCTTGAGCAACTGAGGATGGTACTCTAGTATCTCACGGAAAATTAATTCACGTATGTCCTCCTTTGTAACCCTCCGCCTTTCAAATTCAAACTCCATCTTTGTAATTGGCTGGCAAGATGGTTCCCTCTCAACTTTGGCCAGTCCCTTGAAGTAAGGATCAGCTAATGCCTGATAAAATGCCCCCCCAAAAAAAATAAAGAAAGAAAGAAAATATATCCAGCACTTAGTCGTGTTGAAATCTAACCAGTCAAAAACATAAGCTGTATTACGTCATACAACACAATGAAAAAATGGAAAATGAAAAAGAAAAAGAAGAAAAAGTAGCAAAGAAGGCAGACACAAACATTGTAATATAGAATTGTTACGGTATAATAACAAACCTCTTCGGCAGTTGGCCTGTCCTTTGGATCAAAAGCGAGCAGCCTCTCCAGTAGTCGTCGTGCAAGAGGATCTGCATTTGGAAACTTCTGTGAAAAAGGTACAGGCTGTTTTTTCCTCATGCTAGTAAGGTATCTCCTAGCCTTTTCATTTCGGACCTGAGCACAAAGAGGAAGAAACTTGATCCCCAAGGGCAAATTTACAAAGTAAGGTTTAGAATAGAGCAGTACAATCCAATATTATGCTAACTGAGTAACTTCATACTCGCGAAATAGTATCCATTGAAGGCGTGCCAAGAAGATCTGTCATCAAATCCAGCTGGTGAACAACATTTTTTCCAGGAAACAGTGGCCTCCCTGTTAAAACCTCAGCAAAGATGCAGCCTATACTCCATATATCAATTGCGGGTGTATACTGCATCCAATGCCAACAGTATACTAAACACAGTGGTGTAAATAAAAACAGTGGCTTATCATATTTATCTTAAAAAGAAGAATTGTTACCAGGCTTAGCATACTTATCTCCACAGAATATTCCAAATATACTTTAAAAAATCAAAATAAATGTAATGTGTCCACAATAACTTCCTTGAAACTGTCAGTAATTGAGTTCTTCATAAATAGATAAATAAATAAATAAAATTTTAAAAAAAAACATGAATACACTCAACAAATAATTTAATGACAGTTTTTAATATTTATACCTATGATATGATACAACCAGTTTGATAATGAAATCTTGATTTACTATATTTTGATATTCCGATTAAAATGTGGTCCACTTTGAAAACATTGAGTACATCAGTTATCTTAGTAATTAAGTAATCCTAAATGCTACTTTAAGAATGTCCACAGAGAGAGAAGAAAAAATAGGTATGTTTGTAGTAAAAACTGAGTGAAACAATTAGATCTCCCCTTAACCCATAAAGTGTTGAATAAACATCTTTGTATAGTGTGGAGTTAGGTGTAGGGAGAGGATTGGCTTGTTTGGGATGCCTCTAAAACATGGGATTGGAGGCCAAAACTTGATAAAAGATTCCTATGGAAGGCAGAGAGGTGGACTTTCCAATTTGGAATATTTGGAAGACAAAAGCCCCTTCTTAGGTGACTTTCTTTATGTGAGTAGCTACAAATGGGAATATACTGACCGTTGCAATTTTATTAAGAGAAAATTCCTTCCAAATTGGTATTGCATTGCATGTGAAGGAAGATGAAAAGGCAGTGGACTTCTCATTCATTGTGGGATGGTTAGGTAGACTTTGAACATAATGCTTTCCGTTCTTGGGGTTCTTGAGTGCAATTCCCAAGATCGGTGGTGCAATAAGTATAATGTTGAAGAGTTAACATGAGCAAAAGAATAAGATTAGTGTGGAATATAAGTATGCAACACCACCAAGTTTGATACGGTGATTGTGGGAGGAGAGGAGAATTCAATGCATATTCTAAAGAGAAAATTGTTTAGCTTTATTTTATGGTTGGGTGACTGATAGGTTGAATGCTTCTTTAGATTTCTTTTTGGAGGCTGTTGAATCTATGGAGTCCTGAGGTGACAAAGGAGGACTTCCTTTTTCCTTCCTTAGGTGTAACACCCAAGTTCTAGAGATGTGCTCTCTCAACTTAAGGTCGTCTATTTAATTTTAATATTATCCCCCTAAAAGCAATCTTTGTCTTCATCGTCTCTTTCAAGCAAAGTTTTAAAAAGCGGTTGCGGTCACCATAACTGTTGCAGTGACACAATAACGGTTGCGGGGTATAAAGGTCGTAGCGTAACGATTGCAGTAACTGGAACCGTGAATTTTTTTAATTTTCACACAATTTTAAAAAAAACTTACCGATACGCATATTTTTCTCCTTCAAAATCACATTTATTGGGGTTTAAAATAAATTTTGATCAATTTTTGTTAATTTTTAAATATGATCCAATATATTTCATATTTTCAAATCACTATAAAAGAAATTTTTTACATTTTATTTCAATAGTTAATAATTTTAAGAATAATTGATTTTAAATGTTTACAAATTATTTTTTACCAATAGCTGAACTAACTAAATAAAAAATATTCACACTTATTAAATGAAAGGATTATAAAATAAAAATTGTGTCATAAATTAAATTTTAAAAAAATTATAAAGAAAAAAAATTCATATAAAATTTTTTCTTTGGGTTTGGATCACTTGAGTATTTTTTTATTTTTATTTTTTAATTTTTGTTTTTTTTTTTGAGAAAAGAAAAATATTGTAAAAGAGTATAACGGTGTCTAACGGACCTTTATGATACCGCTACGGCTATTACATAACACTGAAACGGCCGTTACACCTGTGAATTTCCATCACACTACTATAGCGGCCGTAACGGGTGGCGGTAACCGCCACAACCATTACGTAACGGTTACGGCCGCTTTTTAAACCCTTGCTTCCAAGGCAATCTCTCACTCCCACACATGATACTACCCCAGCCAAAACAAATATATATTAAATAAATAAAACCTAGGGAGCAGCTCAGGTCATGGGAAGAGTTAATGAACCTCATCGTGCAAAAGCATTAAAGTCCAACAAGAACACTACATCCATAACTCTCTCCTCTCTTGAAAAATTCCATTTTGGCCTATCATAATAATTATCTAAGCAGACCCCAAATCCTAAATCATCCAAAATTTCTCCACTAACAAACAATCGAATCTCATTGCTCCTGCCATAACAAACAGAAAAGGATACAACCAGAACCACTTTGGACTCTAATGTGGCAAACTTCTATTGATCACAAGAGAAAATTTAACAAAGTAGCATAATTGACCATACAACAATGCAGACCAGTCAATCACCAGTAGTAGTCAACTATTTATATTACAATTAAATTTGCAATAGTTAAGACCTCTTCAAGAAAGTCATCACTTTGTTCTGAAGTAACAAAAACATGGTAAATTATTATTAGCCAAAATTAATAAAATAATCAAGGTTGCAAAATAGTAAGGGCCAAGATACTCAAAACATTAAATAAACCCTCCCTTTCATAGAAAGATAAGTGATACTTAAAAGGAAAGAGGGAAAAAAAAATAGAGAAACATCAACTGCACCTCAAGTGGCTACTTGAGGGAGAAACAATTATTCAACCTCGCAAAGGTTCAAGCCTAGTATGAATCTTTATATTACCATGGCCATCTATTGTTGCCATAAAGTTGGCCCATTTTACGTTCTTCCATGCAAGATTATGTTAACCCATTTTAATAAGAGAAGACAGATACATCCCAAGGTCTAAACTGTCACTCACCTCAAACAGGTGAGCTTTCATTAACAACTTAAGCTCAAGCCTGGTGATATTCCATAACCAGTATTATTAAGTGTATGCATAATTATCCCAGTTCATATTTTATTTGGGTGCTTGGGCCAAAAGTACAAAATTAAATTTTCTTTGTCTAAAGGTCCAGGCGCTGATTATCTTTGTCCATAAGGACAAGCTATTACAAAATGACCAAACTACCCATCAATATATTATAGACGGTGAAACCAAGACCAAAATCAAAATCTCTCTCAGCCTCTCTCTCTCCTCTCTCTCTCTCTCTTCTATCTTCTCCGATATGAACCTTGCTGGTGCCACCGCCACTGTCACTTCCTCCATCTCACCCTCGCCTAAAATCGTCTCAAGTTCCGTCATCATCTCCATATCTGGTCGGAGTTCGCAACAGATCAAAGTTCTACCTCTCCTCCGGCGTCCATTTGATGCATCTCCGAATGTCAGGGTGGCGGTCAGCGTGAGTACCACAGCGGCATCGATCCACCACCCCAGCATTCGTCTCTCTCTCCTCTCTCTCTCTCTCTCATTCCCCTTCTCTCTCTGCCAGATCGTCGTCCGGAAAGCACTAAACTCATATCTAAGTTTGAGAAATGTGAATATTATTGAGAAAGTATTACAACCTGATTCTGCTGTAGTACTGTGATTAAGTTCTTTCATACTTAAATCCTCCTTGGAACTTCTAATCTCAATTCTATCATGTTTAGAGTAACTATAAATCATTACAGCTGTTGTAGAACATGCATTTTTTGTTGTTGTTGTTTGGCCTTATAAAGTAATATTATTAGCATGCATTTTTTTTCTTTGTTTTATTTAAATCTTCAGGCTGGGGACGATTGTAGTCTTTGCTCAATGAAAGAAAAATACAGCTTTGTAGGGATCAAATTTGCATGCTGTCATTCGCACTTGCTAGATCGTGTCTCAAATCAAAGCTGTGGTGGTGGTACTGTGAGAATAATATATATTATTCTCACAGGTAGTTGTTGAAGCTGTGGACCTTATATCAGAGATATAGTTTTTTTTTTTTGCTATTGAGATGAAATTTTTTGGGATGAAATTTTTTTTTTTTTTTTATTTTTTTTTTAATTTTGGGGGTTTTTTTTTTTTTTTTTTTTTTGTAGTTGTAGATGTAATTGTTGATGATGATGATGATAAAACAAAATGTAATTCTTCTTCTTGTTGATTGCAACAAATAGAGAGAGTAAGTCTGGTTTGATTGCTCTGCCAAATTTTGTACAGACATGAAAAACTCGTACAGATAAAATTTGGATAGAAAATTTGTAGAGATAAAAATATTGAACAGATAAATTGTACAGACATGAAAAACTCGTACAGATAAAATTTGGATAGAAAATTTGTAGAGATAAAAATATTGAACAGATAAAATTTGGACAAATAGAAAATTTACACCGATAAAATTTGTACAGATAAAAAATTCACAGATAAAATTTGGACAGATAGAAAATGTACACAGGTAAAGTTTGGACAGATAGACAAAAAATTTGAACTGATAAAAAATAATTTAAACAGATAGATATAAATTTGAACAGATAAAAAAAAGTCAACAGATAAATTAAGGGATAAAATTAGAAACAAAATGCCCTTCAAAACAAACAAAATGACTTTTCACCAAACTACTTCACAAATGGTGGACTTCTCTCCAACAAAAAATATCCACTGGACCTAATGCCTTATAACCTCCTTAGATTGGATTTATTACCAATTTACTCATTTTATTTTTCACCCTATAATGGCACCATCGTATGTTTCATAATATAAAGATAAAATGTGTAGTTTGCAGCTCAAGTTTGTCTCCAACATTTGGTGATAGTGAGGTAACTTCATCACCATTCCTAGTCAATGGTTGGGAAGAAACCAGTAATAAACAGAATTTCCTAGTGAAAAGCTTCACACTTTGCCTATTTCCTTTCATTATATTATCACTCCCTTTGATATGTCTTACATGACCAATGCTGATGTTTGTTTCTCATGAAAAGTGGAAGCGTGGGATATGGCTTCCACTGGTGCTTCTAGTTTTTGGGGAAGTGGAGGTGGTGCAAAAGTAATATTAGAAGGCTCATCCCAAACGCCCAAGAGAAAGAGGATATCACACCAGTCTGTAGAAGATCAAAGGTTATTTCAAGCTCTGTTATCAGAATCTTACGATTCGCAATTCAATTCACAATTTTTGCAAAATCGATCCGAATCTATGTGTGAATTTATTTTGAAAGTGAATCTCTAGTGAATGGCACGACTCACGATCAATTCACGATTCAATTTACTTTTTACAATTAATGCAATTCTTGAAATTATCATGTCTGACATATTTTTGACCCCTTTTTTTTATCTTTTTAGTGAAAATGACATAATATAACTTCTAATAGCATTTAGTACCAAAATAACCAATATGTACACATGATTTATTGTTATTTTCGTGATCATGAAATTTTTAATAAGATCCAATCAGATTCAGTCAAACCCAACATATTTTTAACCTTTATTCTCATTTTTTTTTCCTTTAAAAAAATTATAAGATATGTACTAAAGATTTTTAAGATTAAAGTAACTTACACCATGAATTACTATTTCTATTTTATTAAATTAAATATAGTTGAATATTACAAGGATAAGGTCAGTTATACCTTTTTAAATGTTTAGACTTTAAAATAAAAGATCCTAAATTTTAAAAAATAAAAATAATAAAAAATTATTACTTGAAAAAATATGTATGATTATTGTCCAAATATTTATATCATTGTTAAATTATTGTTACATTAAAAATTGAGAGTTTTTCTTTGTTTACTGTCTCTATTAAGAATGGTTGATAAGAAATATTTATAAAAAAGAAAAAAATGTAAGATGATGATATTACATAAAAAAAATTATTAACTTGTTACCTATTAAATTACGTGATCATCATTCAAAATAATATTTTCATTGATTTACGTCTAAATATTTCATATTCATAAGATATATTTAACATTTAAGTGTGTGATATATTTTTCTAAGTAATTTAGAAAAATGACCAAATCTTTATGATTAGATTCGATTCGCGATTCGGTAAGAGGTCTCTTTGATTCACGATTCGAATCCCGGTTTAACCAGAGTAAGATTTCAAGGTAAAACAATGAAGGCAAATATATTTACATTTCAATCATAAGCCATCAGGAATGAGGTGATTAACTACAGGCCAGAGACTGTACAGCAGAATACATGTACATACTTCGAAATCTAAGTTCTAAATGGTTGGACAGTAGAAAAACAAATATCCAAATCAGCATACATTATTATATGACCAAAGTTACGAATCCGAAATTAAATATGATATGCTTGATATCAAGTGGACTAAACAAAATAATGCAACAAATCCAAAACAATACAAGCTTCAGATGGAAGAAACATATACCATGTTTCATTTATGCTTTCTGTTAGATATAAATAGATTCAGAACAACGCATCTGTGACCATACCTTTGAGAAGAATGATCCACAGAGTTCGGGAGCTCTATACCATCTTGTAGCAACGTAATCCTGTAAATGTATCATAAAATATAGAAAAAGGAAAATTTTTAGATCCCACAACTATAATCTATTAATAAAATCCCAAAAACAAAAAATGAATAAGAATGGTGAATATAAGTAGCGTAATCACACCTAAAATTACTGAATTACATACCGTCCAAAATATTGTTGTAGGGGTGTCACTGAATGCAACTCTCGCCAACCCAAAATCACATATTTTGAGTTTACAGTTAGCATTTGCCAATATATTCTTTGGTTTCAAATCTCGATGGTAGACATTTGCTGCAGCCAAATAGCTAACTATTAAATATGTTTAACAATACCTCAAACCCAGCTCACTATCCACCACCACTACATGGCACATGAAGCAACACAAATCAAATAAAATGCAAATTAATTTTTTTAAGAAAATATAGTAATGTTCTCCAATACATAAAGGAAGCTATCGTTAAGGCAAGGCAACAGAGAATAATCAAGTTTATCAGTAAATTTGCACAGGATAGAAATTGGATGTGATCAGCTCAAAAATGATCCTAGCAGCATAATTATCACAAGTCATTGACAACTTTTGTGATCCTAGCTAATTATGTTAACTTTATTGTTCATTCAATTACATAGTATTTTTACTCTCTTTTTTTATAAGCAACTACATAGTGCTTTTACTTAAAACGTACAGCCAGTAAAGTGGCAAAGGAGTACAGGAGCCAATTACCTGTGTGAATATATTTCAAAGCACGTAGTAACTGATAAAGGAAAAACTGATAGTGCTCCCGGGTCAGGTCATCGTTGGCCTTAATGACTTGATGAAGATCTGACTCCATCAATTCAAAAACAACATAAATATCCTTGAAGTCTCTTCTTGAAGGTGGAAGCATAATGTGTTTAATTTCAACGATGTCTGGATGCCGTAGAAGTCTGAGCAACTTTATCTCACGAAGAATTCTAGCAGCATCTGAGATGTGTTCAAAAATATCATGTATTTTCTTTATTGCCACTTTTACACCAGTATGGGTGTCAATGGCTGAGCAAACAACACCATAGCTTCCTTTCCCTATAACCTCCTGAATTTTATACCTATTGGCATCACCGTATTCAGAGAAGAAGTCCATCTCTGTTGAATTCTACACAAACAAAACAAAGTCAAATCAGATCATAAAGAACCGCAATAAATGTCTAATTCATTGTACATTGTGCATATCCAAAATAAATAAAAAGGAAACACACAAGATGCCAATCCTTAAATAGTTATGGAAAGAAAAATTAAATTCAAGTTCCTGCATTGCAAAAATAATTTAATTCCCAATCCTTCTACAAGTTTACACTTTTTTAAAAACCAAATACATCAACCTTATTCATGCTGCACCGTCTCTTCCTTTTTTAGAAATCCTTTAGTTTAACACACTCCTCACCATGTTAAGATAAGAAAGGTGTGATATTTCACAAAAAAGAAGCTGAAAATAACATTTTAAATCAAGCAAATATGAAAATTTGACTGAAACCTATCCATGCTGTGAATTATCACTCCTTACTTAAATTGTCAATCATTATGATCACTGAAAGAACACAAACATTTCATGGGAAAAAACACATCACAATAATATTAACAGCAAAATATAACATTCACGTGTATACACAAACCCCAAATACAATAATAAAAAAAGAAGAAGATCACAATTAATGGAACTTCAATATTGTAAAAAACCTTAAATTTTTCGTTCCCTTGCTCCACAAAAAAATCATATATTCTTTCCGTTTTCTTTTATCCCCTATCAGGCCAGGAATGTTTGTTTAGTCTAGAGTCTACTTCTCTAGCGCTGTGTTTCGTTGAGGGATTTGAGAAGCTATTTGGGGGGAAAAAAGGAAAAAGTGTGTTGAAGTAGGTAAAATATAGGTATATTTTATTCACATTTTAGCTACTTTTTTCCTTTCCCTGTCCCTGCCCAACTCCCCAACCAAACACGGCTTAAGAGAACTTTATTTCTATGAAACGGTCAACAGAAGATAGCCAAGTTCGCAATTGTGTGAGAAAAGATTAATGATATTTGAGATTGGAGAAAATATTTCGAATTTCAAAGTCATGTCAGCCTACAAACCCCGTAGTTAAGACACTCAAATCTGTGAACTAATAATAAAAAAAAAAAACTCAATAGAGTGTGAAAAACAAAGATTAACGGGGAAGATATATTTATATACAGATATTACAATAAAAGGAACCAGAAAGGAAGAAACAAATAGAATTAAAAATCGAAGAAAATACCCACTTCAGATAACAGAATCGTGTCCAAGGAGAGGATATAGAGGAGGAGAGGGAGAGAGAAAAATGAAAAAAAAAAAAAAAAATTTACTTCATAGACATGGCAATTAATATGCTTTAATAGAAACAGAAAAAGCATTTATCTCTTTTAGATTAGTTCTAGAATAAGAATGAAACCCCATATCGCCGAGAAAACCAAAGGTAACGCCATCCATTAAAAAAAAAACCAATTTTACAGAATAATTCACACCGAATCAATACGTTACATGTTAACCTAACGCAAACCCAACATTCTATCAACCATAGCACAACAAACAAATCATTCCAATTATCCAACAACAATCATAAATTTGCACGATCAAAAAAAAATTCAATAATTCATATAACAATATGTGAGTTATCAAAGCTGACCTTCTTTCCGTGATCTTGCTGCATTGTTTGTTTATTGAGTACTGAAACAAGTGGGTAAAACTATTGGAACTGAATTTATTAGTAGTGAGAGTGAAATTGAGAAACGAGAATTAGCCACATTTGCCCCAGCGACCTCGACTTCGGATCACAAACGAACAATCCCACCTTACTCGCTTCGAATTCTTGACAAAACACGGAAACCTAATCAGATCCCTCATGCACTCCACCAAAATACGACCCTTCAAAACCTCTCCTCCGCCAACAATCATAGATTGATGATCAACACTCGGTTCAAACCAAGCTTTCGCATAGCTGCTTGCTAACACCCCAACCCCAGATCCTAACCCTACTCTCTATCTCTCTCTCTCTCGCTCTCAGACATACAAACCAAACCAACCACCACACTCAACCAATATATGTATGAGCATGTAAGTCAGTAGTTATATATATAAAAAGCCCTAGTATATTGGACACAGTTTCGTGGATCTGAAGGAAACCTAACTGATCTTAAATGGAGTGGAGAAGCTGTAGATCTGAACACCGACAAGAGAGAGAGTGAAGAGAGAGAAATGGAATATAGAGATACAAGGCATAAATCTAGGGCATATATATATGACTGGATGGTGTATTTCTTATCCGAACGGTACATATTTGTATACGCTGGGAGGTGGATTATATACGGAAATGGCAGTATGGCGTAATTTATAAGCAATAATGTTACCTTCCCCTTCTTTTACTTTTTTTCCCTTTTGTTTTTTGGTATGGAGTCGAGGAGTATATGGCATAAATTATATAAGGTTAGGTTTGCATTTCTTGAAAAAATTAAAAAGTCATTATGTGATTTAAGTTACAATATTTCAAATTTAATTCAAATTTAATTCATATTTTATAAAAAGTATATTTATTTAGAACATTTTAAATAATCCTTAAGGCCAAGTTTGGCATTCTCAAAAAAATTCAAAAAGTCACTATCTTATTTAAGTCACATCATCTTATTTAAGTCACATCACCTCTCTATCACATCACTTCAAACCCAACCCATACCCAACTCATATTTCATAAAAAGTCAAAAAGTACACTTATTTAGGACACCCCAAACAACCCCTTAAGTGTACTTATTTAGATAAGTGTATTTATTTGGGTTATATCACCCATTTACTTTTATGCATGTTTTTTCATGAAAGGTTAAAAATTATATTTTTTTTAAATCATTTAAAATACCCCTAAAATAGTTAATAAATAAACTAAAATAGTCAATAAGATACAATATCACATGTAAATCATAATCATTTTATTTTTTCTCTGATAAGTATTAAATCAATTTAAAAAACCAACTATTTTCCCAAATATAACTTTTTTTTTAGCTAAGTTAAAATAAGAGTGTTACTATTAGCACCCCATAAATTATTTTGGATCCCCCAATTTTTAACCCTTTTTTTTTGGGTAAATTACAAATACACTCCCATAGGTTTGCTTAAAATACAGATTGCCTCATGTGGTTTGAAAAATTACAAATTACTCCTTGTTAGTATTTTTTATTTAACAGAATTAACTAAAAAAATAAAATTCATAATTGTTCTTCTATAAAATAATAAAATTACCTAAATTATTAATTGAAACATATTTCTAATATTATTAAAAACTGTTAATTGACTTGATGATTTATTAATAAAATGGTCGATTTGTTATGAAATTATAAACCTCAAGGAGTGGAATGTAATTTACAAAACTACAAAGGGCGATTTGTATTTTAATCAAACCTCAAGAGGTGTATTTATAATTTGTCTTTTTTTTATTACAATAATAACCTCAAATAAAATTACTATAAATGACATCATTAATTTTTTGACACCTCATCTCACAATTAAACTTTCACACCTACTACAACATGAATTAGAGCTTATGAGAGCACCCACCACCATCACCACCCCATCCATTTTCCTAAATCCCACCTTCAAAACCTATCCATCCTTAAAACCTTGAAAATCTTTTGACGGTAATATTCCGGCGATAGCAATGGTAATCATTTGATTACTTACACTTCTCCGGCAATGACAGTAAGTGGAAGTTTTTCTGGTAACCACAACTCTATATGACGAGAAAAATACAACAATAAAAGCTTAGAGAAGCTTCAAAGCTTTGATGTTTTTAACACAGAGAAGATTGGCCTTGTAAGGGTTTCTCTTGAAAAAAATGACAAAAATAATAAAATCTGTTCGTCATTTTTTCGGGACTGAACTCCCGAACATATAATCAAAATTAAGGAACATAGGCCTGAACACTGTTTATCTGTTTGGGAAGGCATTTCCTAACAAATAAGTAATGTTCGGGAATACAGATCCAAAAATGAAAATTTCTTAACACATTGAATGGTCAAAATTGTTAACGTTTGTAGAAGTTTTCATTTTTCAAGTTCGGGAATACAAGCCTGAACATTACTTATTTATTTGGGAAGGCACTCCCGAACAAATAAGTAATGTTCGGAAATGCAGGGCCGAACATGAAAATTTCTTAACACATTGAACGATCAAAATTGTTAACGCTTGCAGAAGTTTTCATATTTTCAAGTTCGGGAATACAAGCCCGAACATGGAAATTTCTTAACACACTGAATGGTCAAAATTTTTAACACTTGCAAAAGTTATCAGAAGTAGCCCAAATCCATTATCATGTTGAAAAGCTATTTCTTCATCGCGTAACTTTGATAATATTATTGCGTAGTTCTCTGCTGAACTCAAAATTTTATATTATCTACCAACAAAACCAATTATTATAATTTTTTTCTTGCAAGAGAATAAATTATTACGAGAAAACTAAGAAATTATGTATATGTATATATGTATAGAGAAAGAGAGAGAGAGAGCGTACTAACTGTGATAATGATGGATGAGGCACCAAAGATAGTAATCACATTGGCTCTTCTTCTTCTTGATGGGTTTTGTTAGGGTTTTTTGGAATATGGGTTTTTTTTTGGGTGTGAGGGTGTGCATGCAATGGCTGAAATGTTTTCACAAGGATAATTTTAGTATTATTTGGGGGGAAAAATAATTTTTGAGGGTTTTAAAATTTATAAGTGGAGGCCCAAAGAAATTAGAGATCCAAAATAATTCATGGAGTACTAATAGCACCACTCTAAAATAACCAAAAACCTAACTAAAGTAGCCAACTTCCAAAATGAGGCCTATGTTTGGTTCAAATATTTTGGGGGAATTTTACAAGAAAGAAAATGTAGTTAAAATGTCAATAAAATAAACATATATTTCACATAATTTTACATATGCAGCCTTAACGTACTCTTTAAAAAAGCCTTGCTTTAGGAAGTTGACTATTTTATGTTGCTATTTGGTTTTTTAGCTATTTTAACTTAGTTAAAATAGTTTTATTTGAGAAGATCAGTGTATTTGGTTTCAGTTTTTTGAATTCAGTTTTTTGGAAATTGAGTTTTTTATTTTTTTTAGTGAATATTTTTAAAATTTTAAGCAATTTTTTAACTTTTTTAGATGCACATTACTTAGATGTATATAAATAGTAAAATATTTGTGAAAATTTTAATAAATACACAAAAATAGGGAAAATGTACTAATTTTTTTTTTATTATTATTTTTTTTTTGTATTTTTGGTATTTAGTGAATTTTTTAAAGATTTGTTTACAAATATTATACTTTTAAGTGTATTTATATTAGGTGTGTCTACGAATATTAAAAAAATTGCTTAAAATATTTTAAAAAATCATTGAAAACAAAAAAAAAAAGGAAAATAAAAAAATAGATTTTTCTGAAAAGTGTTTTCTGAAAACTAAAACCAAACAAGCTGAGTTGTTGTTGTTTTTTTTTTTTTTTTTTTTTGTTGATTTGATGATTGTAAGAAAAAATGTAAAATAATTATGAGTTGAATATGACAATTTATCTTATTAGCTATTTTAAGCTATTTTGTCTTTATTAACTATGTTAGTCCAAATAGCTCTTCCTTAAAAGGGCATTATTATAGCTTAATATCATCATAATTTAATTACAACAATGCTATAGATCCCAAAAAACACAACCCCCACTTATCTGTGATTAGTCCAGGAAGGAAATAAATAAATAAATAAAACCACATAATTGGTCCACATCATTTTGAGGATCCCCAACCTTGAGGGTCCTGAGCATTTTTTTATTTAATTATTCAGCTAGTATCATCATAATTTAATTATTTCAACAAGTTAGTTATTATAATAATTATTTTAACAATAATAAATATATGTGTGTAAACCATAATAAATATATGTGTGTACATTTCATTAAGAGAATGGGTCATGGACCTCTCACAAGGGTGGGGCCAGATCTCTCACAAGAAGTGGGACATATTGTAGGCTCCATCTTTGTGAGAGGTCAATGTTCCACTCTGCGAATGGATTCTGTGTTCCTAACATTATTGTTTTAACCAAATTATTCGGGATCATTTGAAGAGCTTTTAGACACTTTTTAAACAATTTGTGTGAATAAATTGGTAAAATAAATAGTAGTATTGAAGTATATAGATTAAAAAAAGAGAATTATGCAAAATAAAGAATATAACATTTTAATATTTTACTTTAGCAAAATAAAGAATATAACATTTTAATATTTTACTTTAGTAAAAAATGAAGAGTATCATTGAAGTTACTCTAAGAGCATCCACAACAAACTAGCTATAAATAGGTAGAAGAAGAAAAAAAAGTCCAACCGACTAGTCAAAACACTAACTGAAATAATTTAAGAATAAATTATAAATACACTCCTTAAGATTTTTCTTTAAAATATAAATTGTCCGCTTTAGTTCTATAAATTATATTATACATTTTCAAAATTTTAATTGTATAATAGATGATTCATTTTATTAATAAATTATTAATTCAATTAATAATTTTTAATGATATTATAAATATATTTCAATTAATAATTATGATAATATTATTGTTGCGTAGAATAGTAGTTAGAAATTTGTTTTAGTCTATTAATTTTGTTCAATAAAAAATTCTAACAATGAGATATTTATTTTAAAATTAAATGAGGCAATCTATATTTTAAACAAATTTTGGAAATGTATTTGTAATCCACTAATAATTTTATGAATAGTACTAACTAACTACTCCTGTTGAGTTACTATTTACTAATTACTTACTATTTTATTCTTAATCCTTTTAGTCTTTTCTTTCTCTTCTATTTTAAAAAGAAGATAGTTAAACAAAAAATATTGTTAGAGTGTTAATTAAAAAACATGATTAGCTAAAGTAATAATATAAAATTTTTGCTTAGATGTTTTGACGAGTATTACTCAATATGCTCTAATTGTAGCTTAAAAAAAAAAATTGACACCTCAAGCAAATTCATTTGTACCCTGTTACTTATCATACCACACATAATTTTAATTTTTTGATTAAATTCTCAATTCACACTGTTAGTTTTCAAATAACCCCAAAATATTATTGTCTTCTCCAACTAGCAAACCCTAATTCTAACCCTAACTATTACCACCCCCTCATTTGCCATAGTCTGAATTATACCATTTTCTTTGGATTCCAACTCCTACCATCACCCAATCCCCATTTCTGTGGAACCCCCATCCATACCAATACCAAAGCTTCGCACTATCATCACCTC